GACGGGTATTGGTTTCTTGCAGGATCAAAGTAGTGGGCCATGGAAACAAGCCTCACGGAACCCATGCGGGTAGTGTTATGGAATGATACCTGGCGGACTAGAGTCGCCATCTCCTATGCCTAGCTATCTCTTTTTTCATGATACCTTTGTTCTATTGAAACAGAGCTTGCTATTGGTGTGCATGTACTTTTCCCCGCAGAGACTGTGACCACCAAGCTATGACGTCATAGTGATCCGAATGTGCTGTTGTGCGCATGTGCTCAAGAGCAATGCCGTCAGTATTCTACATGCCTGTTATTTCAGGCTCTCTCATCCCAATCGGGATTCGGTCCATAGGTTGTAGACCAGTTTTGGATGTGCTCACTCACGCTGTCGTCAGTTGCGCACTATCCCATCCAGTGAACATCACCACGCGTCATCTGGACGGCATTGCGATTACAACGACGGACCCAATCAAAGGCCCCCGCACTATACGAAATTGAGCCACTATCCACACTATCCAAGCGTTTTGCAGCTTCGTTTCAATTCTAATGCTTGCTACTCTCGGGAGTGTGGGTTCGTGTGCAGAATGCCGGAGATAATACAGCTGTCCAGGGTTCATGTCCACGCATCATCACATTCGGTCATGATTTGTGATGTTGGTGCAAGCGTCACAACTATAGTGTGACTTTGGTAGTGCCGGAAATAATAGGCTATGGTTTGGAGTTACTGGCTCTGATTGCAGATTCAAAAGAGTTTATACCAATCTTCAGTCTCACATCCTTCCGCATCTCGTAGCACTCCATCTACCCAGTCTTTCTCACAATGGACCCCATCAACCCTAACCAGAAATTCCGAACAAGTCCGCAGTGGGCATTGTACCAGCGTGAAAACTTTTGGAAATCGAATGAAGGCGAAGTTCCAGTCTTCAATACTGGTATGGTCACCTTGCCTTGGTGACATCCTACTTCATTCATGCTAAGATATGTAATAGATCCCGGCAAGCTTGAAGAGTTAGCAAAAGAAAAGCTTAGCCAAGGAGGCTGGTTCTATGCCTCCTCCAATGCTGGTCAATCGCGCACCCACACCACTAATAGACAAGCTTTTTACCGGCACCGGATCATTCCGCGCATGCTTGTTGATACCAATCAACGTGACACTACGACCGAGATCTTTGGACATAGAGTTCCTGCACCAATTGGATTTGCACCTGTCGGCATCAATAAGATCTATAACCCGCAAGGCGAGTTACCCGTAGCGAGATCTGCGGGAGCATTAGGACTTCCCTACTGCCTTTCAACAGCAGGTTCACAAAGCATAGAGGACGTCGGTCATGCTAATGACCAAGGCGTGAAGAATGGCCGAGGCGATGTCGGAACCGCTGCCGGCGGTGGTGAAAAAGGCCTCAGGTTTTTCCAATTATATATGCCACATGACGATGAGCTCACTCGCTCGCTCCTGCAGCGCGCAGTGAATAGTGGCTTTACGGCATGTATCCTCACAGTAGATACATGGCGACTCGGCTGGCGACACGACGACGTCGCAAACTCAAATTATGCTTTCTACCATGGTGTAGGCGCGGACCTGGGCTTGACTGACCCAGTCTTCAAAAAGAGATTGGAAGAGAAGGGCATTGATCCCACAACCCAACCAAACGAGGCCGGTGCACTATGGATTGACAATGTCTGGCATGGACGCGCGCACACATGGGAAAAGGCTGTATGGGCAATGAAGCTCTGGAAGGAGCTCAGCGGAGGCAAGCCATTCTCTTTGAAGGGCATCCAAAGCGTGGAAGATGCCAAGAAGGCAGTTGAATTGGGCTTCGACGGCATTGTCGTAAGCAACCACGCTGGACGACAGGTTGATGGTGCAGTTGCAAGCTTGGATGCTTTGGAAAAGATTGCCGACGGTATGCCTCCCAAATATCAGATTATGTTACCTCAATTGCTAACTCTTTACTAGCTGTTGGAGATAAAATATACATCATGTTTGACTCAGGCGTTCGCTCGGCTTCTGATGTTGTCAAGGCACTTGCTCTGGGTGCAAAGTTCGTCTTCGTTGGCCGGCTCTGGATTTGGGGTCTTGCCATCATGGGCGAGACGGGTGTCACCCATGTCATGAAGAGCCTTTTGGCAGACTTGGATATCCTGATGAATGTTGGTGGATTCAAGAATATTGGAGAGATAACAAGAGATGCGCTGGACAGTGAGCCAAAGGGATACCAGTTGTTGCCGACGGCGAGTAAGCTGTAGCGCTTGGAGTACGAAATTTGTTTATTTACCACATAGTTGAGGACGTACATATTTCGCAAACCAAGAGCTTAAGTTCATTTCCCAAAAAATACGTCTATATCACTCGCGTTTCTTAAGCGGCTTGAAAACCTGTAGAAGTAATTATTGTATGTTGGCCAATGGGCCATTGGGAAATGTTACATGGCGCTAGGCCAGGAAAGGCTGACCGCCGTAGTAGGGCTGGGAGATGGTCCAAGCACTCCCGAGCCACTCCAACTCAACTGCCACTCCCCTCAATGCGCAGCTTCCCCTCCTGTGACTGTAGACAATACACACAAACAGTATGTTTTGTATCGTCGCGCTTCATTGATTTTGTTATATCCCGAAGTTATTCGACCAGAAATCACTGCGACGCTACCCAAACCTACTTGTGTTGTCCGACATACAGACACGAGCCGGCCAGTCTAGAAATATCTCCGCGTTGACTGCCCATCATGTCAGTCATTCTCTGCACTGGTACGTGGAAGTGTTACGAAGCTCTCAAGAATAAAACTAATTCCTTGTATAGCTGGTTATGACCACACTATTCGGTCCGTATACTTTTGAACTCGCATTGTTCGCAATCTATACTGACAGCTCAACGTCAGATTCTGGGAAGCGCTGTCTGGAATCTGCTCCCGCACCATCCCTCACCCAGACTCGCAAGTCAATCGTCTTTGCATATCGCCTGACAAGCGCTACCTCGCTGCCGCTGGCCACCACACTGTAAAGCTCTACGACATCAAATCGACCAACCCGAATGCGATCCTTACCTTTGACGGCCACACTTCGAACATTACCGGTGTCGCGTTTCACTGTGAATCCAAGTGGTTAGTCACTTCATCGGAAGATGGCACGGTTAAGATTTGGGATACACGGTCAGGCAATGTCCAGCGCAACTACACCCACGGTGTCCCGGTCAACGATGTGGTCATTCACCCAAACCAGGGAGAATTGATCAGTTGCGATCGCGGTGGCAACGTAAGGATCTGGGACCTCGGCGAGAACAAGTGCTCTCATCAGCTCATTCCTGAAGATGATGTCAGTGTCGCAAGTGTGACTGTTGCTAGTGATGGCAGCATGGTTTGTGCTGGAAATAACGCTGTGGGTTTGCCCAGTTTTCAAAGAGGAGAAACTCTAGAGCTGGATTCTAACAAGAGCAACAGGGCAACGTCTATGTCTGGCGAATGATTCAACGTAGTGACACTACATCCATCCTGCCCATATGCAAGTTTGTTGCACATACCACCTACATCACTCGCGTTCTTCTCTCCCCCGATGTCCGCCATCTAGCCACTTGCTCCGCCGACCACACTGCCCGCATTTGGTCCGTTGATACCTCAGCTCCCCATAACGTCACTCCCAACGACAATCTCCCATCAGCCAGCGAACGCGACCCAGCAGCTTTTCCACTCGAGACTACACTACACGGCCACCAGAGATGGGTCTGGGATTGCGCTTTCTCGGCCGACAGTGCATATCTGGTCACCGCCTGTTCCGACCATTATGCGCGATTGTGGGAACTAGGCAGTCAAAGTATTATTCGGCAATACAACGGACATCATCGCGGAGCCGTCTGTGTGGCCTTGAACGACACTGCTGTTGGTAATTAGGAATCACGATTTCACTCGGTAAGTAAGATTAGTGAATGATATGTGCATGAACCCATGTATTTGCATCAGCGTTGGCGTTTTGGCGGGAAATGATACTCAGTAATGGGGAGGTAATCAGTCAAACATTAGATGGGCATCTATGGCGAAATAGGAGGGTTTCTTGATCATCCAGGTCTGGGAAGTGATTATCAGGTTACATAGACGTGTGTCTGTTTGAGCGGCACGCTGTATTATGGAGATGCAAGTGTACAAATCATTGTTGCATAGTATACAAATGAAGAATGGAAAGGCAAACAAATGCAACAACGGGGGATAATCGTCGTATAGTCAGTTACCTGGTGAACGATATTACACTAATTTCCTTCTCTCTAGTTTGCTCCCCTTGTTGAAAAAAAAAATCTTTCACTTCTTAAATCGCATTAATGAATTAGAATTCCCCATTTACACCCCAAACGCCATGATTCGCTATGCATGATTTTCCCCTTTAAACTCTTTCTATCAATAGAGGATACAAAAAGAATCATGACGACAAGAAAACGTAGACATGAGATAGAGAAAAAGATTGAGTCCCCAACGATAACAAGAAAAAACAATGACGGTTGGGAAAAACTCGCTGTGGCAGAACATTTGGGGAAGGGAAAAGGTGATATGGAAAAAAAGGGTAGGGGGAGAACAAAAAAAAACGCCCAAACAAATGCTCTCTCTCCGACTTGATTTCCTCATACAAAACAACAACAACAACAAACAACAAACAACCCTTGAGCATAACACGTAAAATTCTTTAATCCATAATTCATTTCCTTGATGTCACCCTCCTCGGGTACTACTTACCCACGCACCCCCCCCAAACCATGCATGACTCCCTAACTCTTCCTCTTTACCCTTCTGCTCTCCATTTCCCCCCTACCCCCAGGTCTCATCTCTCCACTTCAAACAACAAAGGCTTTATTTCCGCATCAAAGCCGAGAACCAAGATGATATGTTCTTGCCGGACACATTGGGTGTACAAGGAGAAGAAGAAAGCGTGCTGGATGTTTCGGTGTGGTGCTTTGCCAAATCATCGCTTCTCCTGCCGATGACTTGTGTTCTAATCTGAGAATACAACAAGGGCGCGTCGGCATGATGGATAGTAGCAGTGCTAGCACTGCGATATGGCGGCAGGGAACAAGAAAACGACGGCGAGAGATTCGGCGAGGAAGAAGGAAAAGAAGGAGGGAAAGGTAAAAGTGTAGTTGTTGGTATAGTATTTGACATTCCTTCTGGCACGGATGCTGGTGGTGGGGTTGGCAAGAATATGGGGTATCGAGGCGGCGCAGTGGCCTCGCTTCTTGCTCGTCTCGTCATGGGGATGCATGGCGAGGGATCGAAGCGTGGCATAGTGGTAGAAAATAAAGGTGTATGTATATGTGGAGGTGATGACGCCCCTGGCGTCGTAGGAAGATCTGAAGCCGTAGTCTCCGTATGGCTCATCTGCATGGATAGCGGAGCGTGATGGGGTGGCATACATGACCACGTTGTAGAGCGGCTTTGTGGCAGATCTAAAAACCCAGAGATATCAGCTCTTTGTGTAAGATACCCGAAAAGGTAGGACTAAGAATGAAGATGGAAAGTGGCCGTTGCCTAGGCGGGACCACCTTCATCTCTCTTAGCTTCCTCTGGGTTCTCTGGTGCACCCTCAGCTTCGGCCTCTCCATTCTGTCCTTCAGCGCCATCTCCCTCAGGAGGGGCGGCTGCGGCGGCAGCGGCAGCGGCTGCAGCGGCCTCAGCTTCCCTCGCCTGCTTCTCTGCCTTTGCTCTTTGGCGTGCAGCCTCACGCTCAAAGTTCTCCTTGCGGGCTCGCTCGTCCTTTGCTTTGCGCAGACGCTCTGTTTCTTCCACGCCACCACTCTTCTTCAGCTTTCCTTCTTCAACGAAATTGCCCAGTTCGCGCTTAAACTCGTCGTCGTTTCTTGTCGCGAGATCGCGTTGACGTGCCTTTTCAGCTCGCTCGATGGCTTCCAATCTGCCTTCGTGGTTTGGTTGCAGAGCCTTGACCTCGCCCAGGACACCATCACGAGCTTGCCGGGGGTCAATGACCTTGTCCGCCGCAACTGCATTAAGCATGCTGCGACCGCTCGCAGAGCGCATTCCCTTGCCATTTTCCTTCTCGCTCTCCAGGTTTTGTTGTTTAGTCGCCTGTTCAACCAGTTCCAGCGTCTGGGCCGCCTTCTCAAGATCGTCTTGCAAATCGGCCGCGAGTTCTTCTTGCATAGTAAGCATGTCTCGCTCCTCGCAGACAGTCTGCAGTTCTTGCTCCCAAATCTTGGTCCAGAGTGGCTTCTCCTTGGCCAAAACATCCTGCAACTTCTTGAGCTCTGCAGTGGCCATCGACAGATCTTTGGCTGTAGTCTCAAGTTGGCGAGGTAGGGGCCGAACTCCCCGCATAACAACGTCCTTTCTGAGATCTTCGACAAGATCCTGGAGATCATCCACCCTGTTGACAATCTTCTCTGAGTCGTCCTGCAAAGCCTTCTTTCCGTTGTTGATGTAGGCGCGGCCACTGTCACCGTCAAGCGAAGGCAACGCAACCTTAATAGCAGTAGATTTGACGGCGCCCGCCTTTGTACGTATTGTCGCCATGCTCGCTTGTATGTCCGAAACAAATGATGAATATGTCTGGCGGACAACGGCTAAATCTCGACGTAGCGCCTGCACTTCGTTGAGTTGAGTGGCCGACGTAACTGTACCTTCAGAAGGTCCACCACTTGGAATGGAGCGTGAAGCCAATAGAGCAGAGTTGCGATTGGAAGACAGAGGCGCTGCAGATATACCAGCAAGCTCCTTACTAGTTTGCTGCTGGCGTTCTGCAACGCGCTGTATAGTCGCTTGTTGATCCTCAACAACGGTCTTTATACTCTCCACCAACTTGCTGAGACCACCAAATTTGTCGTCAATATGATTCTTTACTTCATCGAGCTGCTCCACATTCAGAACAAGGACCGCTCTGTCCTTGATGTCGCGTATGTCCTCTAACTCGTATCGTACACCGGAAACTGGGTCCTGAATATGAATCTCGGGTAGGTCGCCGTAGCGGTGCGTGTCCCAAGCGAACTTCTCGATAAAAGCTAGTTGCAGGCGAGCAGAAGAGAGTTCGGAACCATCAGCAAACACGTATTTCTTGATCTTACTCTTGTACTGAAGGAAAACGGTGAGTTCTTTCCCTTGTTGAGGCGATTGCTCTGGGATGAAATGTGAAGGCTGCGGAGATGGCGTCTTTGTTCTGTAAGAACTGTGGCGGCTCGCCGCTGGTCTAGGACTTCCGTCTTTGGCTGGTGAGCCAGGCGCGATTTCGGCTGGTTCAGACAATGGCCCGTTGAGAGTAGCGCCCAGAGCGAGTTGGTCATTTTCGGGAAACTTTGGCGCACCAATCTTGTCTTGCGGCGTCTTCTGAATGGGGCTGTCCTCTGCCCCAGGTTCTTGGGGTGGCGGCAGGCTTGGTGCTTTGCCCTGAGAACTCTCCTCAGAGATGCGTCTGTCGTTGTGCTGATCATAAGAAAATTTGGTCTCCACTGCTGGTCGCTGTTGGGCAGGTTGTTGATTTGATCGCTGCCGACCGTGCAGCGTAGGTGCTCTTGTTCGGACTGCATTCATAGACTCGCGCACATCCCGACCCCTATTCGGTATGGGCGAGTTCTGAACGGGCGGAAGTGGTATGCCATTTGTACCGAGATGCTTCTGGATCTGATAGGCTGAGAATCTCCGTGAAGCCCTCCGCTCTAGCTCTCCTCCTCTTTGCAATGCAGCCAGCGCATCTTCTTGTTGTGGTGGAGGTGGAGGTGGTGGGAAGTCGACGGGATAGTTGGGTTGTGGTTGCGGGGCGTGTTCTGGCGGCTTAGGCATGGCGTCGTCTGAGGGGTAAGGAGTGATGACGGGCGCTTGCTGGGCAGAGTTACTCGACATGGACGAGTCTGTAGAGAGCTGGCTCGCATTCGTAGAGCGGTTCGATTTTGGGTTCGAGGGCAGTGAGTCGTACTTGCTTGGCGATGCTCGGCCGCCTCCTGCCACTGAGGACGAGCGTGGGGGGAGGCCGGGGCCACCAAAAGACGGACTGTCGCCCCTCGAAGGCAGTCTTTGGCTTGCTGAACGGGCTTGTTGTGCGTCCTCGACTTCACTGGAACTACCGACGCTAGCCTGTCGCGGACTACCGCCGCCGTTGAGTGAGCCATCTCTTCCAGTACGCTGCCGTAACCGCTGCTGCTTCTTCTTCAGGCCATGGAGGAGGTTGATTATGATGTCTCGTATGCGAGGTAGGAAGTTGTCGAGGCTGGCCTGGGATGCTTCCTGGCTCAGGGTCTCTTCCAGTATGCCGCGCAACAGTTCCGGGACATTTCCCAGGTCGTTTGTGTCAACACCAATGGCATTGAAGGCACGCGACGCGATGTTGAACTCATAGCCCAGACGGACATAGACGTCGGAGACCTCGCTCTCGGTGGCGGTCCCACGCGACCATAGGGTCAGTGTCTCTGGGTCGTGTCAGCGCATAGGATATTGGAAGTGGGTGGGGGCTGATTGCGCCGTAGACTGACCGAGCAGTTGCTTTGTGGCGACGAGTAGATGTGTGACGGACTTCTCGATCTGGGAGAGTTGCTGCTGGGGCTAGGATGCATGACATGTCAGCGGGCGCGGTTGGACTATTGGGCGCGGAATGCCGAGAGGGTCAGTACGTACGTTCTTGGGCGCACGGCGTGACGACGAGGACCCCTGGGACGAGCGCATGGAAGAGGGCTCTTCGGCCATGATGGGGGAGGAGGGGGGCGCAGGTATGCAGCAGCTGCAGCAGAGTGGATGGCCGAGTGACGAAGCCTAAGGGCACGACACGCTCTCTCGGTAGTGTTGGCAAGCACGTTGGGTGCACCGACGTCTGGCTGCCCGCTCCCGCCAAGGCCTGAGTGGCTGGGCTGCACGTGGCGCCGTCTCACACCCGCCACATCTCTTTTGCGCCGCCTGGGCTCGCTGGGCCCGCTGGACCATTCACGTGTCCGTCCCGCCACAGCCTGCAGACCCGGTTTTTTCTTCTGCCATTGGGGCATGTCATGGCCAGAGATTCCTGATAGCAGGGTACCATCGAGTCTTGTCGTCGCTCGTCGCCTCTTGACACGGCGCCCGTGCTGCAGGGCAAAAAATATAAATAGTATCTCAAGGCCGAGCAAAAGAACACCACCAGGACAGAGCCATTATCCAAAAACAGTAGAGTGCCCATGTTGCCATGTGCCTGAGCTGGCCTGGGAGGCCCAAGGTCCGCAAAGAATCGGTAGGGTGCGTTGGGTGTGTAGGTAGTAGTAGCGCATCCATGGCATCCATCAGTTGGGCAGCCACTGCAGCACTGCAGACTACTACGGCGTACTACGGGCCTACGTTGGCGCTACTCCCTGGAGCTGCTGGGGTAGTCATTGTGGGCATGCGTCTCTAGCATGGGCGAGCCGTCATGAACAGGTGTTTGCCCCGTATTTGCTCCCAGGAGCGGCATTGTCTGGTGTAGGCACGCACGCAGGACAGCAGCGCCGGCGCTTTGGAGGCGGTGGGTTCTGGACCACGACCACGGCGGCCACCACCACCACCACCACGATAATAATAATAATGCTAATACTCTGGCGGGCGCAGAGGGTTGCAAGCACCCGACAGAGTTTGTGCATGGCCACGGTAGCCTCGCCAAAAACAAGCCGGGGACAGGGCCAGGAAGCGAGGCGACAAAGCTTACGGGCACGCCGTTTGGCTGTGTGGTCGTGTGGTAGCAACGTTGGCGGTGGCAGCAGCATTCACGGCGACGGCTGCCCTAGGCGTGGTTAGCTGCCGCATCTGTTTCATAAGTCGATCAGGCTTGGCACCTCACCGTGGACATCTGTCTCTGCATTCGGGCACAGCCTCCTATACCATCGCGACCTCCGCCGCCGGCCCTCCCTCGCATTGCTCGTCCTGCCTCTGTGCCTGCTGCCGCATTGCATTGAGTGCCCTGCGCTAACTTCGACAGCTCCGACAGCCCACACCCAAGTAGAGAGTTGGAGCTGCTTGCCCTGTCCCCCCCCGCCCGTCGCTCCATCCTCCCACCCACAACCACCGACACCGACGCACGCTACCGCACCACCAGCACCCGCGCCCTCCTCACCCATCCATGTCCACTGCCGCTGCCACGACCAGCACCTCCTCCAATGCTCTGAACGCCGTCTCCACTCCCGGCAGGCAACTGAAAATGAGCACAGCTGGCAAAGCCGCTACCGACGCACAGCGAAAGCCAGGAAGCCCCAGCGAAGGTAGCCAGAGGTAACTAGTCCCTCTCCAACTGCCCGCCCCGCCCGCCCGCCCGCCTCCTCCCATCGTACGCTGCTCCTCAGCTGCATGTCTGCCCACGCTCTACTCCGCCGCCCGACACCGCTACCACACGCCGGGATATCCTCGTGTGACTTGTCGGCGGTCACATGGAGCCACGGTGCGACTGCGCTGTCCACTAGACGGCCCTCGCGCCCTGTCTTC